CAACATTGCAGATGATGTCTAGCAACACAGATTTTCTTAGACAGTCTTGCTTTCAGCGTGGGTGCAGAGCATAACTTTCTGGAAGAGAAAGATGAAAACTAAGAAATTTTGCATTCAACATGTTCTGGTGAATGCTGCAAATAATATAACTCTGGTCATAGTTCTTAACTGTATGAGTGGTGTTGTGGCCCAAATGTAATGGCAGAATTCAGTATCCGTGGAATACGGTGACAGTGACTGACCGCTCTGAAACCAGTATGGAAAAGAAGTCCATACTACTCGTGGTTACATAGTTGGCCAAGCAAGGAAATGGTCACCGGCTTGGATGAGAAATTTTTTAACCATACGTTCTAAATCATCAGTGACTGAGATGATGTCATTTTGAAGCAGTCACCGTATGATACGGTTTACCGGTCACTCCAGAAATACTGACCCAGCTCGCAGAGAGTTTTAGAGCCTGTAGAGGTTTACCGTTCCTACATAGAAATTATTTTCATCGGAAAGATGTCCATAAATGTGTTTTATTACATACCTATTTTCTGCATTGTGTTACTCCGGATATTTATGGAAATAGGCACATTTGAAGTGACGGTTTGTATTTCTGAATACTCAGTCACTCAGAGTTTCCACATCCCGTGTTAAATGACATCAGTGGCTTATTTTTTGAGGCTTATATTATCATTCGGACAAAACAGATTTGCGAATGTTGCGCTTTAGTTATTGGTAATAAAACACATTGTATAAGCATGCATACAGAATTATATTGAACATACCCCCTTTTTTAATGTAGCTGTTTGATTGGTACTAAACAAGGTAGGTGTGATTAGTATGTACATGATTTGACATAAAATTATAGTGACAGGTCTTCCTAGTTAGGTAAAAATTCAGTTCCTGTGATATGTCTGTATTAAGGATCAAAGGAGATACGGTATCTCAGTAAGTGAAGTGACTGACTACCAGTCGACCGCTTTGGTTCTATTCCCGGCAGAAATAAGCAGTTTGTCTTTGTCCTTCAAGTTGAAACGGACTCTGGTTCCCACAAGCCTCCTAACCAATGGGTTCAGTATGGCCTTTGCAAGGCATAAAGCGGATGGAACATAACATGAAGTTGACTGCTCACTTCTAAATGGTGCCCAGTTTAAAGAATACGTGAAACTTACACTCATCTGCATACAGCTTCACGGCGTAGGAAATTTAGTATAGGTACATGAATTTGAGCAGCAAGTTCGAGTTGGTACCCATGCTCCAACGGGAGGATCGCGCTCTGCGTACATTTATTTTTGTCAACTTTCGTCATGGACCATCATTTTATAACGGGAATATTACCCCAAATATCTCTCTAGTGAAAGAGACGATGGCACATTATGAAGCCTTGTTTTAGGAGACATGCACACCTAACTTCAATGAGAACTATTGATGAGGAAATTGACTTAGCACTCTGTGCCTCCATTAACTGACCTGTCGAGCTACTCACTGTGGTCACTTTTGCAGCTGCGGAACCGACTTCATTCGCGAAACGCATCCGCTGTAGTTTTTGCTAGTGTTGCCTACACAGAGCGGGGCGTCAAACTGACCACTCACCTCCCGCTAGTGTCGATATCAAGAAAATGTGTATATACATACATCTACTACCCCATTCGCTTTCATGGCGTAGTGCTTAATTAGTTAAGCACAGGGCCAACTTTACCTTTTTACCTACACAGATTGTTCTCGAAAACAGAATCTCGAGAAAAATAGCCTATTTGGGCCAGAAAAGAAGGAAACAGGGAAGGCTGGAGAAATTTGCGTAATGAAGAGTTTGGGATTTTGCAGTTTTCATCAAATGTTATTATGGTCATTAAATGAATTAGTATGCAGCACGCATGTAAGAAATTCGCTTGATTAAATAAGTAATCATATATTAGCCAAGAAAATGGCTGGAAAAACCAGAAAAAGAAGTGAATTGAACATTTGTGATACCCTGATATAGGTTAAGAATAATGCAAAAATGGATCTCATAGACACTGAATAAGAGAATATGGAAAGGATTAGCTGCTTCATGATTCACTCTGTGATGAACACAACAGTGAATCGTCAGGCAGGGAATTTCTTGAGCTACTCTTAGCTTCTGAAGAAGAGCTATGTTGCTTGGAACTGGATGCAATTTGACATACCTAAAGGACCAGAAAGTAGGAAGCATTGCCGAAAGTTTGTTGTGTCTGGTGGAGTACATGTTTCCGCGAGCGTTGCCCATCCACACATCATACCCAGCGTCAGCTAGCAGATAGCCTAGGCAAACACACATCCGCATTGCATTACTCAATTGGGCGAAGTAGCATTACTTGGAGCATTGCAATTACAACAGTCTCCCTTCTTCGGTTCCCTCTTAGCGAGCTGTCGATATTACAGACACTTGGGTCTATTTTTCAGCTTTGTTGGAACTCTACGAACTTTATGCCACAGGACACCTTGACTTGATATCTCTATTTTTAAATTTCCGCCGTCAGCAGGTGGCCATTGTGCAAAATTATGAAATAGAGAAATATTAGCACCTTCAAGCATAGTACCTGAAGGTCTGTACCTACGGACTGGACGATTAAGGGGCTGGAGTTCGAGTCCCGGTGGGGGCAAGACTTTTCTTTTTTTCCAAGTTGCCCAGACCGGCTCTGGAGCCCACCCAGCCTCCTATTCAAAGGTTACCGTGGCTCTTTCCCCCGGGGGAAAACCGCCGGGGCGTGAAGCTGACGGCTCACCTCAAACTAGTGCGGAGGTCAAGAAAGTGTGGATCTATACATCCACTCCTCCATACGCCTTCATGGCATAGTGCTTAATTAGTTAAGCACAGAGACAATTTTACTTTTTTTATTCGAAGGTTTGTACTACCATACAGTTTGGAAGTATGAGGTTTTATTAGGATATTATTAGGAAAATGGAAGACTATAACATGGCGGCTGCTTAGACTTTGGATTCAAGCTAGTAAATGGCGAATAATTGTAATTTTACAAAATGTTTATGCTGACTTAGAGATTAGACATTGGGACGATTGCCATTTACAGTAGGATGAAAGTAGTGGCAAATTTGAATTCTATTGCAGAAAGTTTACTTCGGGGATTAAGAAAACCCGAGCCAAAATTTGAGCGTACCCAGTCCGTTTCCTGGTCCCATGATGACCCAGTCCACTGAGCTGCTGATGAGACCATGCTGCAGGAAGACGACCGGCCTCGCTGTGTCTGTGCTGTTCGACAGGGGGCTATAGGGAATACGATGCATGGTGAGGATGTAGCCGTCATCTGTAGTCACGGTGTGCGTCTCAGCAGGGTAACCGTGTTGCGTTATCAACTTCGGCTAAATCAGTTCATAAATAAAGAAACTAATCATTCTAATACAGACATGTCATAGCTATAGAAGGACCGAGACGAAATTTATATGTAATTCTACTCGGAAAACCTCTTAGAAAACGAACAGTTGTAAGACTCAGAAGGAGATGTGAATGTGATAATGAAATTAAGAGTTCTGTCTTCTGGGATGTGGCATCATGTCTTCCGCTCAAAAATCCACAGAATACGGAACTCTTCACAATCGCTTTTGCAAAGATCGAGATTCTACATTATAACATAATGTTTGTTAGGGATCGCAAACTGGACTGGACTGTTGTATTATAACGCTAATGTCTGCTATTAACTCATATAGTGATTTTAATTGGTTGCAAGAAACGTGAAAATATGCTGTCTTTTTGTTATGTGGGTAAATAGGCCTGTTTGAAATTACAGATTAATTTCAAGAAACTGCAATATCTGTCGCATGAATAGCAAGAGCGGCTTATGGGAGAGGGAAGCAATTGTCGTGACTTATGATTTCCATAGTATTTCTGTATTCCTCCAGACCAATATATTATCTTCAAATTGACATCCTATGCTCAGTTTCATATAACTCTCAACTCAATGATCATGATTTTCACGTATAATTCTGCTGGGAATTATAACTTCTGTGAATACAAATTCTCATGCAGGTTAGATAACTAAAGGAAGATTTGCTATGAAGTTGCACTCTGTCCAGTTCTGAAGGCATTTTGATGTACATGAAGTTTCACAAGTCATCTCTACTCTAGGCTTTGGATGATGGGTTTTCACTAGTGTGTACCGACAGCAACTAAATGTAGGAATTTTATTAAAGAGGGCTCGAGTTCGATCACGACCATTGCCACTAATAACAAAATTAGAAGCAATAAAATTATCTCGAAACCAGTATCATAAAAAACCAGATTAAACCGACTTCCAATATATCGTAAATACAGACCTCAGAAAAATTGTAATAATGGGAAATTTGAAGTGCCTCTTTCAGAACTCTCATGGAAGGACAGAGGCAAACAAAATATTTATTAAAATGTCCATAGTGTTCAGTTGTTGTAAGATTAAAATGAATAATAAATATGTAAGATTTATTCAAGTTTCCAGTGCCAAAGATACGGAAAAATTTCCATACATATCTAAGCAGAATACTTTACCATGGCAGGCAATGATTTCCTCGTATTTTTGTTATATTTTCCAGTAACACCGCGTAGAAGCAGGGTTAGGAAGCACACGTAAGCAAGAGATTTTCCCCACACTGCAAGTATCATTTTCCTCGCCTATTCTTCTTAAGGAAAGCAATGCATACACGCGGTTGTGTTTCAAGGCAACTCGACATCGCTGCGAAATGTACTGATGCATCTTTATGTTGGCACAGCGATCTCAGAGCAAAGTTCGGAACACATGTGACCCAGAACAGGCGAGTTGATGTCTGAATTCGATAGCGAGGAAATAAGATAGAATTCTGAGGTCATTATATGTTTGCCTATAATTTCTGGATTGCCAGTGTTTCGTGATTGTCACATTAACCATGAACTTCTACATCAGTTCTTAAAATTTTGGAGGAGGTATACCAAGACCACTCCCTTCCAAATTAGTTTGTGTCATCCTACAATTGACGCTACGCAATCTAACCACAGAGGGCGTTTAGTTCTACACTGACATGCAAAAAGGAGTAACCAACCATAATTTTTGCTTAAGAGCAAAAAGACGAAAATAAAATTGTGAGCCTGGAAGCATTCATGGGTATGTTAGAAAGGCATACAAAGTTTTATGGGAACAGATCTAACGCGAGGGAGAGGTTTACGATTAGATGGAAAGATACTGTCAAAATTGACTTCAAATAAGTTGAGTTCCAGAAGGTGGCGTGGATTCAGCTGACTCGGTGTAGGGACTAGTGGCAGATTCTTGTGAACACGACAGCTGAACTACTTACTATCAATTTCGCAAGTATGCCTCTCCATGGGAATATTAATTTTGTGGTGTCTTTTCTCTATCTTTAGTTGAAATAGTGTATGCTAGTTGTAGCAGCACAGTGATTACTATGGACACCACATTCTTCAACATTCACAAATTCTTCATTTTTCTCCATAGAGTACATTATGTGTTCCTTAACATTCTCCCATGTTCATATAAATAATATTAACTAGTCGGTAGCTGTATCGGAGACACATTTTGCTTCCTTTGAGGTAGAAACTGAATTGTATTTGGATAAAATTCATGTTTTAAAACGTTAATGACACATTTTGTCTATTGGGAGTTCAGTCTACTGAGTTATGACACTGAAAGCGATGTAAGTTTGGTACTGAATAGGGACTTACACTTATCTGATACTATGACACAATTATGTACGAGATTGATCTCTGGTGTCCCCCTCTGTTCTATCGCTATTTGTGCTTTCCCTGAGAAGGCCGGACAGACTCAAGACTCACCTGCCCGGTTATCTTTCAGCTGTAAGCTACTGACGTACGCGGACTGGCGCCCAAATTTCACTCCCTGCCTCCCAATTTAACCTACCCGTTCCACAGAGAGCTTGCGGAAGGTGGCCACAGTGCTAACAAGAAAAAATCTTGTGGTAGCAGCAGTGAGGAGTGAGGATTATCGCAACACAGGTGACCCTAGTTACCTCAAGTAGCCCCAAAGCACTTGGCAAACCAGCTAGCGGACAAAAGTCGAGGGACGGTTATAAATTCTCACAGAAGAAATAAAGGAGGAGTTCTTGCCCTAGTCGTAGGCTGTGCTTATATTTNTGCTGACGTGCTAGAGGTTCTCTCCTAGCTCTTGCCCTGTTTAAGGTTGTGAAGCCGTCACTGATAGTCAGAGGAGCAGGCACGTCAGATACTTGAGTCCAGCCATTGCTGTTGGTCTCAAAATCAGCAGACAGCAGCGGATTCCTGGGGAGCAAGACACTGCCAGCTGACAAAGCGTTGTTCCTCGGAGCCGCTGATGACGTCACATCACGCCGCTTCAATGATTTGCATATAAGGCACTGGTTCGTTCGGTTGCTGAGATAATTTCTGTTCCCCCCCTCAAGATTTCATTACACTTACGTAGCTCCCCAGTTTCCTCAGATAATTTCAGAAGCGTTTCAAAGAGGTTTCCAGTTATATTGTTGGTACAGACATCATTTAGTCGGACCGTCATCAGTTGGGTACAGAGTAATCTTTGTCAGATAGTGCAGGAAGAAGGATACAAATTTATTACCAGTCTCAGATGTTGAAGCGAATCTGAGAGGACGAACAGGGGTGTTTTCATCCCTGTCCAGCTGCAGATATTTCACGTGAACCCCACTCTTTAAGTAGAACCGCCATTTGCCATGTAGAATCTATACTCCGTATCGATTTTCTTTTACAATAAGGGAAGTATCAGGAACACCCTCTGCTATAAGATATGATGATGATAATTCAATTAAATTATTTCAATTAAATTCTTGTTTATTTACGTGCAAATTTAACAGCACAGAGGACAGTTACAATATTAGCACGATTACGTGGAAACATAACAGGATATTTTATGAAGAATGCGTCCTGAGTTCAGTTGGCGATAGGCCTACTTTGTGAATATCCCACATTCTTTTTGTTGGTTTATTTTATGACGCTCTCAGGCTCTAGACTGTATGACTACAAATTGCAAGATGAGTGACGAAAGACGAAACGGAAAACCTGCTCACTATTCCTGATGAAGTGAGATTTTCAGGTGAAACTCAAAACTTGCATATTTAGCGCTCTTATGTGCGTGAGGCAGAATATTATTTGTCATTATGTAAAAAAGAATAAAGGTATCCCTGTAAGAGGCCGTGAAGGCCCATAGGGTTGTGAGACGTTGAGGCTCCCACATTTTCTAGACAATCGGCTCATAGATGGCGGGAAGTTGTCAGCGGCACGCACCGACCGCCCTTTATCCCCAAGAATATTAAAATAATATTCATGGTACTCATTTCTGTTAGAGGCTGAGTCGACCCCAGGGCCATAGTGCGGCTGGAAGGATTAAGTCAATTATAAAATATAATGAACTCATCGGGACTTGAACCCGCGACCTTCCAGTTTGTAGCATGAGAGTAGTTAAATTAACTGACTATACACTTAAATTAGATTGACAGATTCCGTACCAGTGTATGGCTCGTAACCTACTATATTAATAGGAATTATCATCGCTCGAATCAAGGAAATGTTTCAACGAAGAAGACTCTGTCATACTGCTTCAGAAAATTTCACCAGCATGGACACAACACTCGTTGCGAATATCTCATTCCAACCGTTTGCACTACCAGCGTGAAACATTTTCCTCAGAAACAGTAGCCCCTTCCTCAAAACACAAACACATAATCACACCATATATATTACAGATACCTAGTCCTTCTACGCCCTAATCAATTTTCTAATAATCTAGATAACTAGAAAAAAGTGAGCT